GGAGAGGGGAAAAAAAAAAAGGCTGGTGAATAAAAGCTGCGCAGCAGGAAGAGAGCAGAGGGCAACGGAGACAGACACCCCTGTGATGGGAGAGCTTGGGAGCCTCCTCTTTTATCTGCTTGGAAAACTTGGCACGGGAATTCAGAACTTGACGTGCCTTGCAGCAACTTGCCTTGTCAAACACACCTAGGCTACGGCGAGGCGCTGAAAAATGCATTGTTTGCAGGCAAGAAAGTAACGGAGTGAGGGAGCTCCCCCCTCTACCGAAGCCTGCCGCTCTGAGTCATGAAATTAGAATTGAATGGGACGGCTTGCTGAGGTCTGTGCTCAGGGGCAGGATGCAACACGATTCTCCCAAGACCCTGGGAGCTGGTTTCCCTTGGGCGAGCCAAGGGCTCACTCGCTTGAGCAAGGTTCCTTGCACCGAAGCTTTTGCAAGGTGAAATGTAGGGTTTAGCACATTGCACAGCAAACAGGGCAGCATAAATAGAGGCTTTTCAAAGGCTGCCAGCTCTGGGACAGGACATCTGTGTCCTGTTGTTGGCTTGGGAAAGCTGGGGCTGAAGGTGGTTTTACTTATCAGCACAGCTCTTCTGGTTTCTTTCGGAAAGGGGATCTAAGTGATCACAGGTTTGCAGAGATGAACTGAGTGGAAGTTGTCTCGTGGCAGTGTTTTCTGCGATCTTACCAAAAAATTGTCTCCCCTCATTGCAGGGGAAACTGAGAAATTAGTTAGCATGTCTTTCAAAGACAGCAAGTAAATCTCTTTTCCAAAATAACCTCAAGTAACATTAAATAATACTACAAGACTTATAAAATAGTTATTAAAAAGATGCTTGAAATGATTGCTCTTCTTTTGAATCTCCTTGTCAGGCTCAGGGTTCAAAAGCTCCCTGTGAAGTGGTATTTTTATCACTTTTTTTCCACCCCCCTGTATTTAACCAGCAGGTTCCACGTCATTGTTGGCTCTCCAAGACATTCTGTGAAGGGGAATTCACCCGCTTTTCTTCCAGCTCCCCTCCACCCCCTTCTTCACTCTGTTGAGATCATTCAGTCGGAAAATTTTTCTAAAATAGCCTTTGCCTCTTGATCTTGGGTTCTTGGGTGAACCCTCACCGAGGAGCTTCAAGCCCCACGGTGAGGCTGGGTCATACTTTAGGACAGTGTAAAGGCAGAAGAGCTAGGGACCTCTTTTCTGGTCTCCTTGAAGAGCTGGACACAGGTTACAAAAGAAGATCCACTCTCCCTCCCCCCCAAAATACTTCTGCAAACCGGATTCTACCCAGCCACATCCTTGTGCCGCGAGGGTTGCCCACCTCGGCCAGGTTGTGTGGTAGATAAGCTAATAGTGCAGGGCAGAGAGATGAAAACCTGAGCAGCTAAATCAAAAAGATACTTGAAATCAGCTACGTGATATAAGTACGGGAGCTTAATCCAGAACGAGCAGTTTAAGGGTATCTGCTACATCTCCTAGCTTGTTTCTGTTGACGTGTTTCCAACTGCCGTTTTCTCTGTCTGGGAACTTGAAAGAACCTGAGCAGAAGGGTTTTTTTTGTTTTGTTTTGCTTTGTTTTGTGTTGTGGTTTTGGTTTTTCTTGTTTGTTTTTTTTTTTTTTCTCATTGCAATCAGAAAAAGCCAGCGCTCGCAACTATCATCTCCTGCAAGCTCTCCTGTCACTGCTCATTGCCAATAGCGTGAGTCACCGGCACCCGCAGCGCCTTCAGGCGAGCTATGGGGAAGCCGATGGTTGGACGGGCTGTTGCAAGGCTCCCTCTGGCTGGAAGGGAAACGGCTGGGCGGTAGCAAGGGGGTGCTCTCACCTCGGGAGTGGAGACACGGGAACATCCTGGGTGCTGGAAACGCAGAGTTTCGCAGGGAAAACTGCACCCACGCGCCCACGTCCAGAAGCAGCAAACCCCCATTTCACAGCTGATGCACAACAGCAGATAACCTCAATAATAACAGCACTGGGGTTATGCTGACAGTGAAAAGAAATAATTTCTGTTACAAGCAATGCAGATGTATGGAGATTTGCTTTCCTAAGCTTGCAGATGTGAATTGGCGCATGTGTGCCGGATCCTGTGGATGGGGGCCAAGCAGGGAGTCTGCCTTTGATTTCCAAAAAGCTATGCAAAGTCACACCTGGGAACCAGAGCACAAGCTGCAAATGTTTTAATTAAAGCAAAGAGAAAGGTTCGTGTTGCAGGCAGTCATTACCTTCCTAGCTCTTCTAGGAAAGCCTGTTGCTGCAGACAACGGTAATTAAGTGGAATATTACAAAGGATTCGGGAGAGTAAAGCAAATGATGGTTTAGGCACCAAAACAAGGAAAATCCTTGCAGAATCTCTCGGTCCCCCAGAGTTTCCTTGCTTGGCGCGTGTGGCTCGCAGGCGCTGTCCCCCTGAAGCTGCTCAGGGCTGCGGTGGGCTGTGTTTGCCCCCTCGGACAGAAGGGTTGCCTGCAGAGAGGCTGCTGCTTTGGGAGGCAGGGTTTGCTGCAGGGGGGTGGCGGGTGGGCTGGGGATGCAGAGCAAAGGGAGGGGGAGCGGGGCCCGCTGAGATGTGTGCAGGGGCTCAGCTGCCTGTCAGCACCACTGCTGGACTCGTAGTTGCATTTTTTTCAGCACAGGCTGGGAGAAAGACATTCAAAACTTTTAAGGTTAGTTAAGGTTAGCTTGTCATTAGCTGTATTAATTCCTCGTACTCGTGCTGTGTAATCCAGCATTCACACAGGTGAGTACAGAAATCGAGGTGACTCAGAGTTTATTTTTAACTTTCGCTAATTTTTGGCCTGTCTGTCTGCAGCATCCTCTGCGATAGGGACCGAGCAGTTGGGGTTTGTCCCGGGACTTCGGTCTTTGATTTTCTGGGTGAAGGGAGATTTGTTACTCCCATGTTTTGGTGCATCTGGGTTTCAGTGAGGTTTTGCTGTGGTTGTGAGCATCTCCTGTAAACCTGCTGGGCTGGCGTGTACTTGCTTGCTCTCTCCCATTTGCTGCGCTGAGTTACGTAAAGCCGGGATGTTGAGAGGTCAGGGAAGAGCCAAGCGTCTGACTCTTTGAAATGCAATAAGGTGTGAGTGCTTGTCTGAGGGTTTTTCCCCCTGTTTTCTTTTTTATTCTCCTTTTGTAATGACGGCTGACCAAAATACCTGTATTGGCTGGTGAGTTGCTCTGTTCCAGCTCACCGAAACCCATCCTCGATCTAGATCGTCCTGATAAAATCCTCCCCCCAGAACCCTGTATATGCGTGGGCTTGCTACATCTTTTTAAGAAAGCAAAAATTAAATGCTGGGGTTTTGCCTGAGCTAGCAGAGCTGTGCAAAACCCTCCCTTCCATGGAAGAAAGGCTTTTGGATTAACTCCAATCATATGTTAAGAAATGAACAGTGATTAATTTTTTTTTGCCACTTAATGGATAAACCCCCACCCTCCTCCTTCCTCCTTTTCTCTGATTCTTCAGTTTGCTTTGGGACAAATGATTTCAAGCTTTCCATTATAACTTTATCAGAATTTCAAAGCCTTTTCCCCAAAGTAAAGCAAAAGCCCCCTCCAGCTCACTCTGCTGAAGGTTGGGAATTTTTAATGCTACTGGTTCTGCTTTAGAATAAAAAGATGTAGGAACAAATAAATTACAATCCAGTTTTATTGGGCATACACCAAAAAGAGAGAAGAAGGAAAGCACAGTGTCATATCACTGTCATTGAAGTATAAAAAGCTGCAATTTTCTTTTTTAATAGCACTTTCATAAAAAAAAAAAAAAAAGAAGACATGGTGGAAGGCTAGAGGGGTAAATTCCATTGGAAAGGGGAAGGTAGATTTTGGGTACTGGTGTGCCTTCGGGCTCCTGCTCCCCATTGCCTCGATTCCCATGTGCTGGGCTGAAACCTGGTTGCACTTTTCAGTTTACCGAATGTCTTTCTTTTGTCAGAGAAACCCACACGTAGTGGAGGTGCTGAAATACCCCAGGAGCGGTGAGGACATGGCCCTTCAGGCAGTTTTTTCAGTGTAACTTTCTCTGTCTCAGACTTTCACCTTGACTGCTGTTACCACGACAGTGGGGAAAGTCAGTGAGACTTGGACTGTTGGAAGATTTTGGCATTTTTTTAAGCCATTCCAACAAAACCTAGCGTGAGGCAGGACAGCAATCCAATTTAACTGCAAACACCGATCTTGCTTTTGAAGAACTGTCTGCCTCAATTATTTAGAATGAAAAAATCCTATAATTTAGAAAACAAACCTTTTTCCATATGCTTTGGATCAATCACTGATGGCTTCTCTGACAAAATACACCCATGAGATTATGTGTAAGGTGCCACTATGGGCAAACTTTTACTCAAGAAGAGAAAGGACAGGAATGGAAGAGTAGTTTGGGCTTCCTTTTAGATAAGCTCATTGCAAGTTGAATCCACGTCCCTGTGGCTGGTACTTTTCAGATGGAGGTATCTCAGATTGCTTTCCTAAAATTACGGTCTGAACCACTGGCTAGGCTTGTGTGCCTGACTTCACACAGCTGCAGTGCTCAGCACATCTAGAAGAAACATGTTTTTTGAAGCTCAGCCGTGAATGGGAAAAGAGGGATTTTCCATCACATTCAAGTGACTCAGAAGTGGCTCCTAATGGGCTCTGTGCTCCCATCGTAAGGGATTTTAAGAGGGGCACCACACTTGCAAGCCACTGCCTGGGATCTTTCAGAAACCTCCTGGGGTGTTTCTACACAGCAGAAAAATAACCCCCATCTCTGATAAAGAGACTTGAAGGAGTGAGTTTAGTTCATCCCAGCAGCGAAGGCAAAACAGGCTGAACTGAAACCAAGTTCCCAGCCCAACCCTGGGCTTCTGTGGGCCAGCACTGAGCTAAAATCCCCAGTTATTGCATCTTCACTGCTACTTGAGCTGTCTGAGCTGATGGCTGTCAGCTAGCCACAATTACAAACAAGCCGCTCAGCCTCATTAAAAACAAAGAAACAAAAAAAAAACAATTCCCCATTCAGAAAATGACTCAGGCCTGTGTTTTCTTTTTAATCCTCTTTGAGGTACTTTGAGAGATCTGGTTAACGCGTGCTCTGCTTCTTTTCTTGAACTGTGATCCAAATGCTGAAGAAGTAAGGTGCAAGGAGCCGGGACAGGGGTGGGTGGCGGGGATGGTGGTGTGCAGGAGCGGTACAGGAGTAATGGAGCAGCAGGAGTAGTGGGTTTGGGGAGGGTCAGGTGTTGGGTCTACTCAGGCTGTGTAGCATTCTTCAGGCTTTGGCTTTTTATGCTTTTCTTGCTGGAGGAGGTTTTAGAGACAATTTTCACACCCGGGTTGGTGCCTTTTGCGCTTCCAGAGCTGAAATTCCCTCCGCCAGTGCTCAGACCGCTGCCGCCACCTCCTCCGTAGCCAAGACCGCTTGCAGTGCCGAGACCGCTGCCTCCTCCAAATCCGCCTCCAAGACCACCACCACCCCCAAGTCCAAGTCCTCCTCCGCTTCCAAAGCTGTAGCCTCCACCACCACCGCCGCCTCCTCCAAGACCAAAACCGCTTCCACCACCTCCTCCAAGACTGAAACCGCTTCCACCACCTCCTCCAAGACCAAAACCGCTTCCGCCGCCTCCTCCACTGAGGCTCAGTCCACCAAATCCTCCTCCTAACCCAGCTCCACCAGCCATGCCGGAGCTGGAGCTGATGACAGCTGCAAGAAAAAGCGACCAGAGGGTTGGACATCTGCTTGGCAGTCACCCAGTTCCAGAAAGCACCATCATCAGGACTTGAACCCAACTTCTGTCCCCTGTGCAAGCCACTGATGCTGGTGGAGGCCTCTGAACGTCTTATATTGGGCAAAACCTCCCTTTTCGCAAGGTTGCTCACAGCCTCTGCTCCCAGTGGGCCCAAAGCAAGATAAGTGCTGTGATACTTACAGTAGCTGATGGGGTTGAGTCCCTCTCCGCTCAACCTGTTGGAGGGCAGATAAAGCGGAGGTTAGAGCACAAGGAAGTTGACAAGCAGGAAGACCAACTGCTGGCGAGGGGCAAAGTGGTATTTGCTATTATTCCTGCAGCGATTTTGCTCCCACCTGCTCTCCTCGCCCTCCAGCAGCTTCCTGTAGGTCGCGATCTCGATGTCCAGGGCCAGCTTGACGTTCATGAGCTCCTGGTACTCGCGGAGCTGCCGGGCCATGTCAGCCTTGGCCTTCTGCAGGGCATCTTCCAGGTCAATTATCTTTGCCTTGGCATCTTTGAGGGCCAGCTCCCCACGCTCTTCGGAGTCTCCGATGGCTGTCTGCAGGGTGGCACACTGCAAGAGGAGTGATTTGGATTCCTAAATGCTGCTTGTCTTTTTGGGTAAGAGTCACCCAAGGAAGAAAACGATTCTGGTTGGGGTGTTAATGAAAAAATAACTGAGGTCATTCACCCATAGCTAACATTGCTGGAGTTGAAATGCCAGCCTAGCAAGAATGATTTAATACGTGTTACAGCATGGCACCCTTTTCAGGAGAGAATTCAGCATGTTTAATGAGGTACATCATATTCTGTGGCTGCTAAAGTACCCAAGCAGCAAAGCAGAGCTGTGGTGCTAAGGAACCACAGAACAAGGCTCCACAGGGTCCCTTTGCTCTACCTACCTGGTTCCTCATGTTCTCTATCTCTGACCGGATCCTCTGGATCAGCCGGTTGAGCTCAGAGATTTCCCCCTTTGTGTTGCGCAGGTCATCCCCATGCTTCCCAGCTGTGGCCTGCAGCTCCTCAAACTGAGGTTCAGAAGAAAGAGTCAACCATCTGAGATGTCCAGGTGGGCGAGATGTGGCTCAAACAGCCTCATATAGGGACAGCAGTAATTTTCCCCAGAAATGCATCCATGGCATCTATGGGTCTGTTCACCTTGGTTTGGTACCAAGCCTCCGCCTCGGCCCGACTCCTGTTAGCAATGTCTTCGTACTGAGCTTTGACTTCAGCTATGATGCTGCTCAGGTCCAGGTCCCGGTTGTTGTCCATTGACAGGATGACGGAGGTGTCGGACACTTGTGCGCTGAGCTGAGCCAGCTCCTGCGAGAAAGCACACAGGATCCCAGCAAGCTTCACTTACCTTTTCAAATGCCATGGATGATGGCAGTCACCGCCCAGGGGGTGACAACAAGACAGTGTCGTGGCTTAAGCCTGGTCATCAGCCATCAGAAATCAGGGGAAGAGGGTGCTTGTACCGCATCGTAGAGGGCTCGGAGGAAGCTGAGCTCATCGGTCAGGGCATCCACTTTGGCCTCCAGCTCCACCTTATTCATGTAAGCAGCATCCACATCCTGGAAAAAAACAACCACGGGAACATCTGCAGCACCTGGTACCTCTTCCTGGCCAAGAACTGGCCAAGCCTGGAGATGAGGCTGCCCCTTTTGCTGCTGCAGGGGTGCTGCCTGACTGGAGAAGCTGTGCCTGACACATCCCCCTGGAAAAGCACCGAGAGGACATCACCTGGACAAAAGAAGCGCTGTGGGTAACTTTGGTAGTGGATAAGGAGCAGGATGCGGGCCTTTTGGCCTTGGTACCTGGGGTCCCTGGCACTACTGACCATCTTTGTTTCTACATGCTCTGTTTTGCCCAGGCAAGCATGTGTGTATCTTGTGGGGCAGGAGTGGGACAAGAATACTTCCATCCTCCAAGGCCTTCCATTCCTTTCCCCCAAAGCTACAATCCAAATGGCAGCTTGTAAAGGATGAGGATGCAACTCCCTGAGATCTCCCATCCTTTAGGACATTCCCAGCCTGTGCAATGGTTACGATTAGCTCAGCGCCCATAACACCTCCCGTCTCACCCACCTTCTTCAGCACCACAAATTCATTCTCTGCTGCTGTGCGTCGGTTGATTTCCTCTTCATATCTGCAGGGATAAAGGGAAAGACATGCTGGATTCTACCTCCATGAGCAGAAAAGTTGTACAGGTAGGACTGCAAGGAGGTCTGGGCTGGGTATGACATTTCCAAATCAACCTCCTGGAAACTGCCCGACTCAAATTTGTGAGAAGCCCATTTCTTAAAGGGTTGAAATGACATTTTGACATAACGGATGGAACAAGGAGAGTAAAACTGGTTTAGATTATTTTCTTTTGCAAATGTTATCACAAGTTGTTGTGTCCTGGCTGAATCTGCATTTTCTGATTAGAGAAATGTCAAAGGACCACCTTTCTGCTGCTGTCAAGGAGGGCAGTGGTTCTACAAGGAGAGATACCTCACAGGAGTGGGACGTCAGAGAGGGGTTAGGTAGGTACTGTGGTGCAGACTAGTGCACAGACTGCAAATCCTTTTTTTCCCTTTCTTGTAGAAAGGTTGGTGAAGATCTCAGGCTAGGTGTTTGACTTTCAGAAAGCTAAATTTAAGTGAGATTATTTCTACTGCCTGATGCTAAACTGAACCATTTGCATCCCATTTCACCCCAGGGTGCCTGGATGTGCCGCTGACAGGCACTCACTTGTTCTTGAAGTCCTCAACGAGGTCTTGCATGTTCTTCAGCTCCCCGTCCATGCGTCCTCTCTCATTGAGCAGATTGGCCAGCTGCCGTTTCAAGTTGTTGATGTAAGCCTCAAAGAGTGGGTCCAAGTTGTTTTTGCCTGAGTTATTTTTTTGACCTTGGTCCTGCAGGAGGGTCCATTTGGTCTCAAGCACCTTGTTCTGCTGCTCCAGGAAGCGAACCTGAGCATTGGGAAGCAGAAGAGGCTTAGCAGAACATATCTGTGAGCATGCTGATGGCCAATAATCAGTAACCGGGACTGATGCACAGTACAGACCAAGGAAATCACAAACCGAGAGTATTAAATCCAGCTGTGAATATCCTCCAGATTATCTAGGGCTCTGTTAGCCCATCCAGTAGCTAAGCAAATCTGCCCTCAGTGGACAGTTCTCTTCAGAGACAATTTAATTTAGCGAGCCAATGAGCAATCATTAGAAAATGTGGGATCAGCTCCTTCATCACTTGCTTTCTTTAGCATCATTTGTTTTTTGTTTCTTTGTAAGAGATATTTATCTTCCCTCATTAAAGCTAAGATCTGAGTACTACAGGTTAAAAGACAAGTACTTAATTGCATTTCCTTTGGCTCATATATACTACATATTTACCCAAGCAAAAGCCAAGGAAGGACTTAAGTTGAGTCAATATAAAAAGGACTTTAGCTTGCAAGCAATAAAGCAATAAGGAACAAAATGTCTGCTGTGATTCCCCACAGAGAGAGCTGGGTTAAGCAGCTAGGTATGGATCTGAAACTGGCTTACTCCATTTGAACTAATATATCTTATTTCTCAGGCACAAAACCTGGATATAATCTTCTTATTACTAGCTTCTAGTCTAGTTTTCTGTCACATAACTATTTAGCAGAATGTTCTTTTTTGATTAATGAAGGCATGCAGGAAATATGCAATAGACTGTAAATCTATGAAGTTTTATTTTTGTAGCTACAAGCCTGTCTCACTCCCTCTCTATCATGATTCCACAGAATTTGATGAAGTCTCACCTTGTCAATGAAAGAGGCAAACTTGTTGTTGAGGGTCTTGATTTGCTCCTTCTCATCTTTTCGCACCTGATGGATGTTTGGATCTATCTCCAGGTTCAGCGGTGCCAGGAGACTTTGGTTGACAGTCACTTCTTGTATTGTGCTGACGCCAGGTGGGCCACCACCAAATCCCACTGGGCTTCTGCCACCACCGAGCCCTCCACTGAATCCTCCCAGCCCCCCTACCCCACCAAAGGCAAACCCACCACCACCTCCCTGTCCACCACCAAAGCCAGGCCCACCAGCACCTCCACCAAAGCCATATCCACCCCCTCCACCACCGAGACCAAGTCCAAGACCACCACCAGCTCCACCACCACCGAGTCCACAGCCACCACCGAGTCCACAGCCACCACCGCTGCCACCTCCCAGGCCAGAGCCACCACCAGCTCCACTCCCAAAAGCAGCTCGGAAGCTGCTTCCAACACCGATGGATATCCTCTTGCTGCCACCAAGGTTGTAGAGGCTCCTGCTGCCAAAACCGCAGCCGCCAGCGCCACCTCCTCCGATGAGCCTTCCAAAACCACCTCCACCTCCTCCAGATCGTGCCACAGACATCGAACTAAAGGCAGCCCTGTTGCTGCTTGGAATAATAGCCGAGACAGTGCTGTAAGATCTGCCCCCGCCTCCCCCTCTCACGCCGTAAGGTTGCCGGTTCATGGCAGCAGCAGGTAACAGCCCGGCACTGGTGAGAAGCAGCGAGTGCAGCGCTCTGGTGGAAGGGAGCGCGGGATGCCCTTTTTATCCCTCTGGGGATCTGGGCTTGGTTGCATGGAAGTCCAGTTATCAGTTTAGTGCCTTCATGGTTTTGACGTGCCAGGCAGCCAGCTGTCTTCTTGAAACTTGTTAAACACTGAGTGCACTCAAGCACACCTATTGGAGCCTGTGTGAATCTGCTCAGCTAGAAGAGTTATCTAAGTCCCTGATTTTTGGCAGGGAGAGCTCAGCCTTAGTGCAAAGCCTCTGTGTGCTCGCAGAGGTGTATTCTGTTATTTCCTATCTGTGAAGCAAAATAAAAGAAATGTTAAAGGGTGAAAAAAAGAGAAATAGTTACCCAGATACCCCTATGCTACTTATAAGATGCTGTAGATCAGTGTAGAGACTAGCGGAGAGTCCTCTGAATCAACTAGAGTGAAAGGCAGTGAGAATAAAATAGCTAAATCTGAACAAAAATATTTCATGGGGCTTCTTCACCTGAAGGGTGTGATGTTCATGAAGCCTGCCGTCTCTTTCAGGGTTCTAATTTATCCAGTCGGCCTGTTCACACGAGTTAGGCAGAGACCATCTCTTTGAGCTGACGAGCACACAGAGGTCGAAATCCATTATTTTCCTCTGAGACACTATATTTAAGTGTCACCTCAAATTTTGGCCATTTACTATTAGGTATTTAGTGTACAGCAGGTTTCCTAGGCTTCCTTTCTTGAGATATTGGCATCTGCAGAGGACAACTCCATCCCACCCAGAGGTTGCTGTTGCAATGTCTCCAGCCAGCCGATGACCTGGTCAATGCATTTTCATTTCAATCTAAAAAAACATTTCAATGAAAGAGACAGATTTTCTGAAAAACACTTTGCCCAGCGTTGTGGAATGGTATTATTTGCATGTTAATATTAAGATGCAATCAGTCTTGAGTTTCTAGCTCTTTACAGCTGTGATTTCTGTTAAAGACCTTTGAACCTTTCCATTCAAAATGTTGCCAAAAGCAAAGTTTTAACCAGCATGAAAAATACTCCCACAAATTCTCCTTATGTTACTTCCTGGAGTCCTTGGGAAAAAGAGCAAATTCAATAGGGTGTGGTGACATTTTCTGGCATCTCAGACTTTGTGGAACTGCAATGTTTAGAGTATTTTATTCTTCATATTTAAGGGCTCAGCTGTTTTTCAACATGTTGCTGTGCTGGTGGTATTGCCCATGCGGTGTGCATGACTGGAGCTTAAACATATTTGCAGGACAGGACTCTACATGCCCTTCAAGACACATTCATGTGCCCCAGTGCTACAAAACCATTAAATATGAGCTAAAATCCCACTGGCATCTCTGGAAGAAAAATGAAGCAGGTGCTTTGTGTTCTGCTGAATACAGAAGACCAAATATCTGATTACCCTTGGAGAAATTCTGCCAGGCAGGCTCAAACCGGGAGAGTTGGGCTGCTCAAATAGAATTTCCCACTGCAGTTTGAAATTCCTGGTTGGTACAGATTGGCTTGCTTCTCTTTGGAAAATGTTGGGCTGAATCTACTTGAGATCACAGAATCACAAAATCGCAGACTGGTTTGGGTTGGAAGGGCCCTGAAAGCCCCCCCAGTGCCCCCCCCTGCCCCGGGCAGGGCCCCCTTCCCCCAGCCCAGGGGGATCCCAGCCCCGTCCAACCTGGCCTTGAACCCTTCCAGGGAGGGGGCAGCCACAGCTGCTCTGGGCACCCTGGGCCAGCGCCTCCCCCCCCGCACAGGGAAGGATTTCTGCCTTATATATAACCTAAACCTACTCTCTTTCAGCTTAAAACCGTCCCCCCTGGTCCCACCCCCACCCCCTGACCCAGAGTCCCCCCCCACCTCTCCTGCCCCCCCTTTAAGCCCTGGGAGGCCGCTCTCAGGGTCCCCCCGGAGCCTTCTCTTCTCCAGGCTGAACCCCCCCAACTCTCTCAGCCCGGCCCCCCAGGGGAGCTGCTCCAGCCCCCCCAGCATCTCCGTGGCCTCCTCTGGCCCCGCTCGAGCAGCTCCGTGTCCTTCTGCTGTTGGGGGCCCCCGAGCTGGCCCCAGCACTGCAGGGGGGTCTCCCCAGAGCGGAGCAGAGGGGGACAATCCCCCCCCTGGCCCCGCTGCCCCCCCTGCTCTGGCTGCAGCCCAGGGCACGGGGCTGGCTCAGGGGCAGTTTTCCCCCCACTCGTCCCCCCCCGGGCACGGGGCTGGCTCAGGGGCAGTTTTCCCCCCACTCGTCCCCCCCCGGGCACGGGGCTGCCTCACGGGCAGTTTTCCCCCCCCCCAGCCCCCCCAGCCCCTCTCCTCGGGGCTGCTCTCCATCCCCTCCTCGAGGGCCCAGCCTGGGTTTGTGCTGGGATCGCCCCGACCCGCGGGCAGGCCCTTGCCCTTGGCCGTGTTGAACCCCAGGAGGTTCCCACAGCCCCCCCTCTCCAGCCTGCCCAGGTCCCTCGGGATGGCATCCCTGCCCCCCCGCGTGTCCCCCACCGCACAGCTCGGGGGGCAGCGGGGAGCGGGCGGCGGGTGCACTCGAGCCACTGTCTGTGTCACCGACAAAGATGTTCAACCAATTCCTTACCCACCGGGCGCTCTGCCCATCAAATCCACGGTGTCACTTGAAATTCATGAACATTATTGCCTTAATTATTTGCATAAAATTCAAAGCCCGGGTGCGATGGGAAAATGAGATTGTCTTCATGCTTTCTTGACCCCAGTAAAGGCAGATTGTCCTGAAGCTGACAAACGGGTTCGGATCAGATATTAGAGCTCAATGAATATAATGGGATTAAAGGTGGGGCTGCCAACAAGAAAGAGGGAATTGTCATTTTAAGGTCCCACACTCTTCTTCCTTCAGCCCACTGTCCACAAGGTATGCAAGTGATGAGAAGGCTGGGTGAAAAAGGCAGTGGGCTGGTTTATTGTGTGGAGGAGCTGAGGTTTGTGGGCTCCATACCCAGAGGCAGATGCAGCTTTTTGCATCTGTCAGTTTGGATCAACTCTACTAGACTCTGTTGATCTACCAAAGGGCATGTCCAGAGTGACACCAAGCAGGATTTGCAATCCAAACTGCCCCAAAAACATGCTTCTGGCCTTTTTTCTCTCAAGAATAGCCTGATCTACATGAACATTTTCAAGCAAGCAGTAGAAAACATGGGTTTTGCAATACTCTGGGGTTGAGAAGGGCAGGGATGATTAAAGGTATTCTCCAGAAATGCAAGAGCTGCTGGGCTGCTTTGGTACCCTGGGGAGCAGGCTGGATTTTGCTGTGCAGTTATTGTTTTGCAGGGAGGTGATCAACATAAATTATGAGCTGTTCGGGCACTGGAAGCTTCTTGTTTGGGTGTTTCTGCTTGTTATTTACATACAAATGAGATGAAGTCCAAGTCCTCTGCACTGAGACCGAGAAGACGAAGATAACCATTTCAGAAAGCATCCTCTTAAGGTGGGTGGGTTTTGCCTTCTCAGCACGAGCGGATCCATCTGGCTTTCACTACTCCCCCCACCCAGCCCAGAGAGTGTTGCTCAGGTATGTCATTTATTAAAAATAATTAGTGATCTGCTACCTGCTGATCACGCCCAATAAACCATCTGGCTTTCCATCCGAAAAGCACCACAGACATGGGGCACCTGACTCCACCATGCTCGGCACAGCCTGTGGTGGGAGGGAAGCAGAGGCAGGTGCTCATCCAGTGGTGGGTTCACCACATCGTGCTGGCGTGGACAGACCGAGCCTGGCAGGACGGCTGAACTCACCCTCCAGCCACGGCGAGGTTGGGGCAGACAAGCCGAGAGTCGGCAGTAAAGTCTAGGGAGCGGAGTGGAATGCCGGGGAATAAATTACAGCACCCGGTCCTCCGTGTACCTTTCATGGGGTAAATCAAGCTGCCCACACCCTGTGCTGCTTCCAGACGGGGTGAGGAGAGACACATTTGTCCAGAGGGAAATTCAGAGTGAAGTTGTCTCGGGGATTTTCGGCTGCACCCAGGCGAGCCGTGGGAGTGAAGAAGCTGGCAGGGCGGGCTGGTTTTCCTGGCGCCCAGCTGTGCATCCAGCTGTGACGAGTGCCACCGTGGCAAAGCCCTTCCCAGCCACCTTGTAGAGACCTTCCAGTGGGTCACCGTCCCTTGGAAACTGGGGGCCCTCACAGAGAAAAGGGGGGGGACGACTTGATCTCACCCAAACCCCGGGCTCCTGAAATGACGGGAGAGGGTTTTCCGCTCCCTGCACAGGATGTTGGAGGGGAACATCCAGGCACACCTACGGGCTCTTCTTTTTGTGTAAGTTTCTCTGTTTTAGGGAAGGTGGGGAGTTTGAGGAAGAAAAGCCCTTTTGGGAAGGTACACTTTTCTCTTGCTTTCTTTTAAAATTAGCCCACTCTTGTGAGAGGGTTCCAGGGGTGGGGTGTGGGATTATTTTCTTTTTGTTGCTACCTGGGCTGGTTCTCACTGATTTCTTTAAACAAGGGCCTGGCTGCTTTTTTTGTTCTGCCTCCAGAGATCCCAGACAGTGTGAGAGATCCCAAGTGAGCTGCACATCCCACGAGCGGTTAAATATCCTGGTTTACACTGCATTTCCAGACTTCCTTGTGGCCACACTAATCTCTGGATGGAATAAAGGTATGCAAAAGTGCATCAGGAAGGAGAGCAGACAAAGTCTCAAAAAAATTTTGTTAAAACTCCACTTCTTGTGAGCTACCAACCCCGCCCATTTGGAGATTCTTGTTTGAGAAAATATATATGCTTTTGTAATATCAGGGAGGGAAATAAAACCCATGAAGCAAAGCATGAATTATGCATGTAATTTATTGAGGGTACAGCTGAAAGTTTGGAGTAAGCGAAGGGTAATCAACTCTGTTCACTTACACATTAAAAGCATCAAATCTGTCTATCTAGTACACACACAGGAAAAACAACGCATGCATTTAACTACAGAAATATAAGGTGCTCATCGGTATGTAATTAA